ATAACCATTTTTATTCACTTTCCAATGGATTGACATAACACTTTTTCTATAATTACGTTTGGACTCACTTTCAGGAAGATTTTTAGAGTCATCTAATAACCTCTTTTTAATTAATAAAACACCTTTTTTATAAGACTCGTTTTCTGATGTATAAATAATTTCGTCAATTCCAATACCATCAACACAAGAAAAGATATAGTTTAAGAGACCAACAACAAAATTAAAGACTTTTCTATAATCAATCCCAATGAATAATGCACTTAATACCATAATACAAAATATACACATTGGGAATGTGTCATTAAAACTATTTCTACCAAAGAATGGAACTTTTTCCATTCCTTTATTGACTATTTGGAATGCAGTTTGTGTTTGAATATTTGAATATTGATTAGATGTAAAATTAATCATATGGATAAAATTCATTGCAAGTGCTGGTCCAACTCTTGATAAATAATTTCCTGCAAATATAATAGAATATGAATCACTTAATTGATGTTTTGTAATTCTAAAGAATGAAATCATTTCTATATTAATAAATGAAGAGAATGCAAAAAATATCATTAATGATAATATTATTAATGTTTCTACACCAACCCAACCACTTAAATCATTATTAAGTAAACTTGATGTAATATTAATAGTAGGATTAATATTTTTTAATTTTCCTATCATTGTTAATTCAGGTTGAATAATAAAAATCCAAAATATAAGAATAAGTAATGTTTTGAAGATATTAGTAAACCATCTCCCATATTTATAATAATAATATTTAATTTTCGGGATTTCTTGAATTAATTCAGGGATGTCAGTTTCATTTTCAATTAAGAATAATTGTTTAGTTTTTGTAATTGTCTTTTCATATAATTTCTCATCTCGAATAATTTTTCTTAATGAATCTTGTAACTTTTCATTTGATATTGCTAGTTCTGTGTAATTATTCTTTACTTTATTTGATGGACTTGTTTCATATTTCTCATTATAATATCTTTTAATGTCACTTACACATTTATTAACATATGGTCTTAATGGGTCTTCTTCATTAATTATTTCATCATATCCTTTAATCACTTTAATTTGTTCTTCTAATACTTTTTTTGATTCTGTCATTCTGATATTACATAACCCAACATCACAAATATTTTTTCTTAATTCTAATTTATTTGTAAATGTACGTATTGTATCATAAATATACATAATATATCCATTTCCCATTAATCCAATAGCTAATATTAACCCCCATGCATTAGATAATGTTAATGCAAATCCAAAATATTCTTGTCCACTTGTTATTAATTCATCTCCTTTAAAGAACCAAAATAATATGAAAAATATTATAAGTAACATAATTAATGTTCCATAAAATATAACATTTCTTTTAATACTTCTGATTAATTTTCTGATAAACGTAAAATCTCCTACAATGCTATAGGTTTGAACAATTGGAAATATTAAATAACATAATCCAAATTGTAAAATATAAATAATCCACCATATAACAATTAATACATTTTGATTAATATATAAAAAGTCTTTTTCTGATCTAAACGTTGACACAATGTCTAATGGCATTAATAATGGACTTAAAAATGCTAAATACCATCCTACAAATGAACACAGCACAACATACCATCTTGTTTTTAATGGGTTAATATATTTAAAGAGAATTCCTAATGCCATAATTCCTGCTAATATAAAAATTAATACAATAGAAACCCACATTAGACTTAATGTTTTGATTTATGATTTATTTGTCTCTCTTTAAGTTCTTTCATTTTTTTTCTATTTGTCTTTTCTTCTATTTTATTTTTTTGTTGCAATTATTTTTGTGTTAGAATTTTCTTTTTTCTTTTTTGTTTTTCTCTTTTTGCTTTTTTTTATTTCAATCTTCCTTAATTTGTTATTCTTTTTTATCATACTTGTTGTATTATTCACTTCTCTTAGACTGCTAGAACTTCTAATTCATTCACCATGGAACAACGAAAGTCACACAGAAAAACTCCAAAAGGATTATACGTATCTCGTAAGAAAGTTGTTAATGCTTCACCAAAAGATTCAAAATGGACTAAGTTGGAGGAACTTCGGAAAGAATATCAAAAAGCAAAGACTGATGTTAATAAACGACAAGCATCAATTGTGGTGATTAGTGGAAAAGACTTAGAAAATCAACGAAAAGAAAAGAAAGAAGAAAAGATTCAAAAACAAAAAAATAAACAAAAAGAGGGTCGAAAGAAACAAAACATCATTAATACAAATGCACAATGCATTTCACAAGAATTATATGATACAATTAAAGAAGAAGAAAGAAACAAATATATTGTTAGTTCATTAGCAATGTATAATTTAGGAGAATATTTTAGTAATAATCAAGAAAGGCTTATTCCAAAAATCAGAAAGTCAAGACATAACAAAGGAAGAAAAGAGGAAGAAATTAATATGGAGAATATTGAAGAAATAATGGAAGAGTATAAAGAAATTAAAGGATTTACAACATATGTTAAAAAGAGTCTTAGTGAAATGATAGAGAAAGGAAAAAAATATGGAGTTAATAAAGAAATAATAGTTAAAGTTGTAATGAAAAATTGTGGGAGTTATTTTGTTAAGAATTTAGGAAGAAGATGTTCTAAGTATATAAGAAAAATGAAAGAGAAAGAAGAAGAGACATTTAAAGAGATTAAAGAAACATATCAGAAGAAAGAGAAAGAAATCATCATACAAGAAAAATTAGGAAAATATTTTGGATTTAAAAAGAATTATAACAATTTACAAGTTGTTATTAAGAAATTAAAGTCAGCAGTTGAATTTCTTGAGAAACCAGAAAATGTAATAAGAAAGTTTGGAAAAGTTGGAGAATATGAAGAAAGAAAGAATGAAGTTGATGAAAGTATTAAAAGAAGTATAGAAAATATTATTAAAGAAAAAGAAGAAGAAATAAATGCAATGGAAAAAGCCATTAAAGAGTATTGGAAAGAAAGTGAAGAAGAAAATTTAGAAAATTATATTGAATTTAAAGAATATAATATTGTTGGAATAAACAAAATAGAAAGAATAAAAGATAAAGAAGATATTGATATTAAGAAAAATATTTATAAGAAAATTAAAGAAGGAAAAGAAAAATTAGAAGAGATTTGTAAAGAATATAATATGCAAAAAGATTTTGGGATAGAAGAAGATATTATTGAATATGGGTTTGCTAAAGGAGAAGTTGTAACAGTTATTAATGAATATCCCAAAGAAGTAAGTGAATTAATTAATAAAGCATATTCATATTTTCAACAAAAACAAAAAATTAATCAATATGGAAATTTACCAAGAAAAGAGAAGATAGAAGAGATGAAAAGAAAAGTCGTTTGTATTACATTCTCCACAAAAGAAAAAACAAATGAATTTGAAAAATACTCAAAATTTGTTGGAATTAAATCAACAAAAAAATGTTGTTTTTCATATCCAGGTAAACTTCGATCAATTATTGGATTATATTTATGTAGAGAAATAGAAAATAAATTTAACAAAAGTAAGTATCATTCATGGAGAACATTATTTGATAGTTGTTATGTCTCATCTAATAATATCACATATTCGTTATTTGATAAATATTGTAGTCAATTAAGAAAGATTATCAATGATAGATATTCTAATGTTGATGATATTACACAAGGTACTGCATGTATTTCTATTAACATTGTTATTAAAGAGGTGATTAAAAAATATCCAATGAGTAAACTTGAAGAAGCATGTGATAAGAATCAATTAGAAAAATTAGTTGATGAAGTAAGAAAACCATTAGTTGATAGAAGGATAGAAGAAATGAAAGTTGAAGCGAATGCACATGTTGACATACAAACATTAATGGAAGAAGAAATTGAAACAGAGGAAGAAGATAGTTATAGTTCAGATTATTCAATATAATTGAATAAAATGAAGATTTTTGTTTATCTTTTTATTATAACAACATGAAAAATAGAGTATTTGAATTAACAAGAAAAGAATATTAATCTAACAAACTGTTTCATAAGTTAACATATAAGAAGAATTGTTAAAATTCAATAAATAATACAAAATGATACAGTTGTAAGAAATACATATGACAACAAGACTTTCTAAAACAAAATAATAGAAAAGACAAATTAATGACATGGCTATACCTTCAAATAATATTATGTACAAAGAAAATAGGAAAGATTAAGAACGAAAATAAATAATATTCAAACACTAATAAAAAGACTACGAGAAAATATGATATAATAACTTGAAGTTAATTGATAAATTGAGTAATTTTATTTTAATTTTATAAATAGAATAGTTGATAATAATATTGAAGATTAATAAAAAATAACATTGAGACATATATTAAATATATAGTTATACATTGAGTTTTATAAGAATGATTTGAACAAATTTCTTTGCAATTAAAAGAAGTATTTGAACGTAATAATATTACTAATAACTATAAATAAAAATAAAAGATATTCAATCTGTAACTAACAACAATCAATTAGAACGAAACATCAAATGTATTTTGTTGAAAATAATTATAAATTATTTTAGAGTAAGCATCTTAATGGTATTGAAA